GGCTTTGTAGGGATGCGAGGTCAATGGTCTAACGACTACGGCATGCACGACTATGAGTACACCCCCTTCCCCCACGCAATCCCAGGTGCACCTTGGTTCTCATCGTACCGCCTCGCTGCACGAGAAGGAGCGGGAGGTGGCGGCTTCTCCGACGAACGAGAAGGAGCGGAAGAGGACAGCGACTCCGGAGTTTTCGGTGACTTTGGGTCTTCCGGCTGGTGCTGAAGACGGAGCATCGTTTGCGGCGGCAACCACGGTGTACGAGTTCCACGCTGGAGATACAGCGTTCCTGTCCTGNCGGCAACCACGGTGTACGAGTTCCACGTTGGAGATACAGCGTTCCTGTCCTGATGAGGATAGATTGGCAGCTCTTTTTGCATGGGCTGGCATCAAACAAGTTGTCCGTGCATAATTCCCCCCACCGCACGCCGTTGCTTTCGGGCACATCTACCACACACCGTACCTCGCGGAACTTCCGCCTTCTTCGCGGCAGTCCGTATACCAGCTTTTGTTCGCTCTCCGTCGGCCACCTTTCCTGAAGGTCCTCAAGGAACGTCGGTGGTGGCCCAGGAGGGAGGACTCCAGCTGCCTCTTGCTCGTGCTGCTTCGACCAACGACTTCAAGCACGATCTACAAGCCCCCCGGCAGACCTCTTCACGCCCTGCACATGGTTCTGGAGAAAACAAGGACTTCAGTAGGTCGGCGGCTCCGTTGTCCAAGAGCTGGAAGAACCGTTGGAGCGACCGGGATTCGACGGCCAAGAGCGGGACGGACGACCACCACCGCTCCACCCAGTCTTCGCGAGGGCGCCGCGTCGGAGATAACAGGCGAGGGCGAGCCGTGGGGAACCAGTCTACCAGGTCTTCACCGGCGAGTCGCCATCGCCGGAGCAGGAGTCGGAGCGCAGAACGACAACAGTGCACCAATCCTTCGTCTAGGCGTGGGCGCAGCCGGAGCGGAGACCGTCGTGGGAGAAACACGCCTCCGTCTAGGCGTAGCCGCAGCCGGAGCCAGAACCAGAGCGGGGGCAATAGTAGGGCGACCAGCACTGACAGCGGTCGAGGCGGAAAAGGGGGACGGAGGTCAGGCCACGGTAACAGGCAAGTGATGCATGATCGGGGTGGTTTCGTAGCTCTGGGTTGTTGGGGGAAAACAAGGATGCTTCAGAAGACGGTTCTCTCTATTCTTCACCGCTTGTTCTACGCCCGCCCGCTGATGTAGGCCAACCGACCAGGTCTTCTTTGTCTTTCAAACTTGCCAACATGCAACTTCGTGAACGTTCAGCCGCTGTGAAAAGCCATGCCCCTGCCCATGCCGTTATGGATCATCCCACGTCTTCCTTGCCTTTGGACGAACCTGTTGAGTCACCACGCCATGCTGCATCACACTCCTCGACTTCGGCTTCCCGTACTGAAATGCTGTTGGAACAAGTACTCACTCTCCTGCGAGCAAATCAAGTAGTGGATGCTGCTGCCGACGCGAATGTATAAGCTCCTGTGCCCCCCCACGCTCCTAGCGTGCCACCACCTGCCCCATCTTCTTCCCCACCAACGCGTCCGACACCGATGCAAGACCACGCTTCGAGCTTTTCGGGAGCTCCTGTGGGACGCGATGTTCGTGCCGAAACCGCTGCCAGGACCACGCCAGGATCATCGTCATCAGCCACGAGGTCGGCGACAGTACCGGTCGAGCCTGCGGTGGCACAGTCAGCGTCGACAGCCCCAGCCCTGTTGCAACAGCCTTTGGTGGTATCGCCCCCCCCCCTCCAGCGTGCGTCTGTTGTGATTGATCCTGAATCTGCAACTGGCCACATCGTCGAGCCACCGAGTCAAGCGGCATCACCGGTGCCACAGGACGATGCTGGTTTGCCTTTGTCTTCCACGGGAGCGAGAGAGAGGCAGGAGGCTCTGCACGCTGCGGACGCCGCTGCAGCGGAGGCCGACACCATCCGCATTCAAGACAAGATGGACAAGCTGAAGCCGGAACAACTTGATAGTGTCACACGCTTGCCCCTCGGTCCTGATCCTGATGAATTTGCTCGCTTCGCGTCTAGCTGCAAGGGTGTGGTCACAGAGATCCTCAACAAAAGCGACGTCAAGCGCAAGCAGACTTTCGATTCCTCTACCTGGGTCACCTGATGGCTTCCGTTGTTGCGCAAACGTGTCCATGCTGCTGTCGTTGAAGGCCAAACCACCAACCGTGCCACTCTGGAATTTCTTGATGCCACCTTCCTACAGGTAGAAAACCATCTGCGCAAGGAACTGGCAGGGCCCTCGACGTACGCCTTCTTCATCCAGAAATTGGCGGCCGCCTGGGACACTCAAGACAAGAGCTCGGGGATTGATCGTCTTCGCAGTTTTGGCGTATCCAACGGCGAGACTTACGGAGAATACATTCGTCGCTCTATGGCTCTGGCCATGATCGTCATGGTTTCCCACCACGCGTTCAAGCCTTCGGATGCGCAAGTGCAGATAGCTGTTCGAGACCCCATGTTTAAGCAGTTTCCGGTAGTGTCTGAGCAGGTGTACAAGGATGAGCAGCTCTCCATGGAAGCCCCTTTTGGGCGACATGCTTCGTGTCTGGATGATATGTGGGATGTGTTGGACAAGCGTGCGTTCGCGCACACGCCGGCGGTACATGGAGATGATTTCTTTTCGGTATCTTCCACGAATGCTAGGAGTTCGTCTGCTGTTTCGCGTGCTGTAGCTTCTTCGGCGTTGCGTTCGACGGTGACCCCTTCGTGGAGCCAAGGTTCTTCGGCCGCCGTGATGAGTGTTGACCCTCTACCTAATGATGATCGGGACCCTTTTCTGTTGCACTACAGCGACTGGCCGTTGCAAGGACACTTCCAAGAGGTGTACAACGTCGCTAGTGAGATGGCTCTAACCAAGAATGATCCGCCATTGTTCACCCCCTTGGTTTCGGCTGAAGAGCGCCGCAACGCGCTTCGACTGTACAAGGGCAAGTGCCTCAACTGCTTGGGAGAAGACCACTCCTTCAAATCCTGTAATCGTGGTTTCGTGAACGCCACCGGCGTGCTTAACAATGACATCAAGTTCTGTATGGAAAAGGATCCCACCCTTTGGGGTCGGTGGAAAAAGCGCATGACCTCGTATAGACGCCCTACAGCTCATCTGACACATCGGACACGAAACAGTCCTCACACACAGAGCACTCGTCGGACGCTTCCACTTCGACAAAAAAGGGGCTGGAGGGGTAAGAAACGACAAGCCTATGGCGGAGTTCAGCCGGTACTACCGTCAACAGCAACCACCGTGCACCCTTTTGGAGTCTCCCAAGATGTTCGTGTACAGCCTATTTCTTTGGATACTCCCCACGCTCCTAAATCACAACTAGTTTCTCGGCCCGCCTCCCCGTCGTCCGCCTCATCGCCTGCTGGTAATGGACATGACCGACCCATTTCGACAGTACCTTTGTGGTGTGGGCGACAGGGAGGTAAGACGTCGAGCGGTCCATCCCTGCTCACCTCGTCGTCTCGGGTTACAGAAGGAACAAGAATCTCGTCTTCTACTATTCGTCAAGACTCCCTGGTGTTGTCAGCCGGGCCTCTTCTCGAATCGCACACGAGCCTTCTTCTACACTCGTCGGGAACCCCGTCGATCCTCCTTCTCTTTCGCAGCTTTCGTTGTCTTCGACCGTCCGCTGCCCCCGTGTGACAGCACCTGATACGAATGCGTCTTCCTCTGCTGCCCACCACGTGTTGACTGCACCACTGCGATCGGGATCGGATGGTAGTGCCCAACATTCTGTGGAAGGTTCGCCTCCGTTGTCAAGGGGGAGTAGTCAAGAGCGTTCTGCGTCAATGATCAAACATCCGTCTGTTGCAGGAATGACTTCTCCTAACGAACGGGTCTCTAATAGCCGAATGGCCTCTGCTAACATTGACCCCGCCGGAGCCGCCGCCCTAAGGCCGCCCTCCGGATCACGGCGCGTTGCGACTTCGCCCGCTCCTGCCTCGCTTTCTGGGTCCTGCCCGTCGGAGAAGAGGACCTGTCCACCTGTTCCACCCCCGCCTGTGCCTGGTGCCCGCATTTTGCCCCTTCGCCCTGCACCGGCTCCGCCGTTTGATGACAAGTGCGAGTACGCTTCGGATGACGTCCTTCTTTTCTGGAAACCTCCGTCTGTGTTCTCGCAATGGACTCCTTCGGCTTTTGACGTACTGGGGGTACGTTATTCATGTGGTGAGCAATTCATGATGTCTGAAAAAGCGAAGTTGTTTATAGATATGACATCGTATGACAAAATTACGGCTGCAACAGATCCTAAAACACACAAGTTTTTGGGTCGAAATGTGCGTCCTTTCGACTATGCTGAATGGGAGCGTCGTCGTGAAGAGATCGTGCTTACGGGGTCGTACGCCAAATTTGCTCAAAACCATGACATGAAACATCATCTACTGGAGACGGGTACCCGCCTCCTTGCAGAAGCCAGCCCCTTCGATCGTGTTTGGGGTATCGGCATGTCTGCATGCTTTCCAGATGCTAGCGATTCATCCAAGTGGGCGGCTAGCGGTAAAAACTTGTTGGGAAAAGCTTTGATGGAAGTTCGACGCCTTTTGCGTGATCATCCCCTCTCTGGCGAAGATTTCCCCGCTTCCAATTCTCCCACACCACCCATTTCGCAGCCTCCTCTCCATGGACATCGACGCATTCATGAGGTTGCTACTTCTACAGGTTCTTCGCTACGGAAGGACCCGGGCGAAGACCCAGCTTGTCTACGTTTGGACGCTCCGGGGGACCATGCTCCTGGCGTTCATCTGGTGGCATCGACCTCCGCTTGTGCAGACCAGCCTCCTCTTCTCGAACATGGACCCGATCTGGTCGGCGGCACGCTCCTGTTGGACTCGGACTCATACACCACCCGGGTCCTGCTGCATGGAGGACCTACAGCCACTTCTCAACTCGCGCGAGTGGCGCTTCTGGACTCTGGGTCTCCTGCATCCTTCGTTTCCGACTCCGTGGTCACCGCCATGATAGCTGCCGGAGCCCTGACAGCTGGCAGCGTTCGTGTTTCGCCCTCTCGTCGTTGGGGTGGGTTTGGTGATGGACCCGCCCTTGTGACCACCCGGTCGATTCGTCTCACCGTTAATTTTCTCCATGGAGATAGAGCTACCGCTTCCTTGGCGGTCTGGGCCTGTGTTGTTCCAGACGCCGCCATGGGGCACGCCGTGCTTCTGGGTCGTGATAGCTGGATGCGCTTCAACTCTCGCGTGTTCACCACCCTTCCCCACCCTGAACCGGACGGCCGGGCTATGGGCGAGCTCACGCTCTCTCCGCGTTTTCCAGCTGGCGCTTGCGTTTACGCTACACACGACGACGCTCCTCCCTCCTCATTTCACCGTAAATATGCAGGGAGCTCGGGAATTTCTTTGGAGCCGGAGCCTGCACTCGTTGAGGTGAACCTCGTTCGTTCTTCTGGCATGCCTGCGCTGATTGGAGAGTATCTGGTATCGTTCAAACCCGAAGTGGGTGCGCTTTCTTCCCCAGATGCGTTCGTTTCAAATGGTCTCCAGCGTATTCCCCTTGCAGGTTGTGCCGAGCTCGAGCCGGGAGACGTAATTGGAGTGTCTGCCGCGCCGCTACTACGAGTACCGGTGGAAACCCTGAAGGCGGCACCATCTTCGATTCCTACCGGCCCCACAACATCTACATCACCACCTCGGGTCAACGCCGTTGGCCCCAAGTCCGGGACTCACCGCTCTCCGGACGCAGCCTCCGCCCCGCCTCCTCCGAAGCCGCCTCCACAAGAACTACTCGACCGCTTCTCTGAGGCACAGCGCTCCAGCTTCATGCGGTTGTGGACTAGGCTGCCCGCACATATGCACGACATCGCTTTCGATCTACACAATCCGGGATGGACACCGGAGGCTATTGATCGTTTGGCCGACGCCCTTGTGGAATATTCTGACGTGTTCTCTACTTCGAAAACCGATTTTGGTTCCTGCAATATTATGCCGTTCACGCTTTCTGTCCCAGCAGGGACGAAGCCCGTTGCATCACGCCCGTATCGTATCAACCCGTTGATGCAAAAGAAAGTGGATGCCGTTTTGGACCAGTATTTGGCGGCAGGGCTCATTCAACATTCCACATCTCCGTGGGCTTCTCCTTTAGTTGTCATCCCCAAGAAGGACGGATCTGTTCGCATCACCGTCAACTACAAACGTCTCAACGCTCTGGTGGATTTGGATGGACAACCTCTCCCTCGAGTGGACGGTATCTTGGATTCTCTGTACACCGGGAAAGTGTTCTCCATCTTCGACCTCAACTCGGCTTTCCACCAGATCGTTTGTGATGAAGACACTGTCCCGCTCACCGCCTTTTGCACTCCCACGCAGTTGTTCGAATGGCTTCGGATGCCGCAGGGCGCCAACGCAAGTCCGTCTTGGTTCGTTAAGGTCGTCAACAGATTGGTGCACGGTCTGGAGCGTGTGCTGGCTTATCTGCACGATGTCATCTGTTTCGATGAGGAACCTCTGGGACACGTGCTAAACTTGATCGAGTTCTTCAAACGACTGCGACAGTACAACCTCAAACTGTCTCCAGGGAAGGGTCGCGTCGGCGCCACGCACGCCAACTTTCTCGGTCACACCATCTCTCCGGCAGGTGTTAGCCCTGATGGCGTCAAGGTTAGGGCGCTCACGCACATGCCGCCGCCGACGAATGTTAAGCAGCTTCGGAGTCTTCTCGGTGGACTCAGCTACTACCGGAAATTCCTCAAGAATCTCGCCACCAAGGTGCGGCCTCTCAACTCTCTTCTCAAACAAGGCGTCCCCTTCAAGTACACCCCGGGCATGGTCAAGGTTGTCAAAACGCTGTTAAGCGAACTCGCTCGCCCCCCGATATTGGTCTTCCCGGATTGGGCAGCAATCGAGGACAACATCCGTCCTCTTCGTTTGTGTTCCGACGCGTGTATCGACGGTTTTGGCGCCTCCTTGGAACAAGAACAGCTCGATGGCTCGGTGAGACCCATCGTGTACATCAGCCGCGCTACTCTTCCTGCGGAGCGTAACTGGACCATTTTGGATCTGGAGGCTGGTGGCATTGTTTGGGCCATCAAACGCCTTCGCGGTTATCTGTGGTCGACCAAGTTCATCATCTATTCGGACCACAAAGCATTGGAGAGCATTGGCAAGGTTGGGGAACACAACGGTAGAGTGCAACGATGGCTGGAATTCCTGTCCAACTTCACCTACACCCTGAAATATCGGAAAGGTCCGGCAAATGGCAACGCGGATTTTCTTTCGCGGTTGCCTTTACCAGCACAAGACACGGACAAAACCGGCCCCGAATGCATTGATAGTATCGATCAAGCGGGTGTTTTCCTCATTTGGGCTTGCGGGCGCAACTATCACTCGTCGTCTACACCGGAGGTCGGTTTGGGTGGGCTCCGCCCTCCTTGCACGGCAGGAGTCTTTTCGCCCCCAGCGTTGCAGCCCTCCGATTTTGGGGATTTTCGCCGACATCACCCGCGTCGGGTGGATGCTCTGACGGACTCAAAGATTGCCTGCGAAAATTCTCAGCGGCCCCCGGGGGTCTTCATCGTCTCGCCTGTTCTCGCATCTTCAAGACATGCTTCCTCATTGACTTCGGATGCGTCCCGCGTGATGTCTCCTGTCGCGTCTTTGACGACTAGATATATGCACGTTTTGTCTTCGCTTCCGGAGCAGGGACCGCTCATTTCTTCACGGACTCGGGCCAAAACTACCGCTGTTTCCGGAGGCACCGTCACCGGTCCCGCTTATTTCGGACGCCAGCCGCGGGCTACCATCGTCCCTCGGACATCGTCGCCTGCC